CTAAAGATGAGTACGGGAACTCTCTGGTAAATTCTTTCAGCTTTTAGCGAGTTAGGGAACGCAACTGTACTTGTCAAAAAATATCGAAGTCTCGATGCTATTCGGTACTCGTGAAAAGTATCGATATTCTGTACTCGGTACTCGTATCGCTCTTTTACAATTTACGGCGTTTGTGGCCTTTCGCATGAAAACAAAAAAGTGTAAACAAATAAATGGAAATTGAATTAAACATTCGAAATCTACGTAATTTGTGTCGTATATGTTTGGGTGTACCTGATTACAACTTGTGGGAGCAGAAAGTTTGTTGGGCCAATGAGGCTACAACAAATGATGGAGATACGAGCGACCAAAATGCCGAGGATATAACCGTACGTGAGGTGCTGCAAATGTACAATGATTGGCAGGTAAATTTGAGTAAAACCTTTATAGATAATCTCTCTACATGTGTTTTGACACTAGCATTCAATATTGGAAATGGATGACGAACTGCAACTGATATGTAAACAATGTCTGAATGAACTACAACCTCATTATCGCTACTATAGGCGCTTGCTTGCCGCAAATAGGCAAATGAAGCAGCTGTATGAGGAAGCACTGGAGAAGGAAGTTGTAACAAACCAAGTGATTATTGAGAATATAGCGCTTGAAGACAATTTACCAGAGTTTATGGATGTTGCAACAGAGTATCCCACACAACAAGACTCCAGTACACTAAAGTTTGGGAAAATGGGAAGGCACAAAGGTCCTGACTATGACAAAAGTTGCAAGATCTTACGCGAAGAATTTTCACAGGTAAAATCTGGTAAAGTCAAATCCCCATATAACAAATAAACACAATTTATTTTTACTTGAAAAAAAATCAACCGCAATTTTCAGCCATCTGAAACTCGTACTTTATTCTAGAGCTTGTACTTTATTTCAGCGCTCAATGGGCTGCAAAACCATCTGCAAAACTGCGTAATCAGACTTTTTAGGAAATCTAATTAAAAAATTTAAACATTTTTACGAGTTTGTAGTTTTTTTCAATAGTGCAAAAAGTTGAAACTTGGATTTATACGGGGTTTGTTAAAAAATTAACTATATTTTTATAAAAAAAAACGCATTTTTCTTGTTCAAATAGCAATGTCCTTTTCCTTAAACAACGTGCAACAGAAAAGCTTCATATTATTACGAGTTTAGGAGAAGACCCCCTTTATTTCGATGTGTGAACAGCCAGAAAGACTTTCCTGCCGCATTTTGGAAATCGGTTTCAGAAATGAAAGTTGCAAGATGTGACTGCAATTGAGAGAGCGCAAATCGATCTCGAAATATTTCTCAACTTACTCGTGCTACACTAGCAATCTGCAATCCGCCTATTTCGGAACATACTTTACATGCAAGGTGTGACTGCTCATGCAACTGCTTTCTGAATTTTCTAAATTTGACAGCCTTTTCGAACTATATTGCATTGCCACGTCGGACAGGCTCTTATGAATTTCTACAGAGTTAATTTTTATTGTTTTTTGAATTTTTTAGTGTGCGAAACCTCCACGATAGTTGAGTCTACATTACAGAAACGACTCAGATTTTTTTTTTTTGCAGAGAGCTTTAGTGCTATTCTCTAAACCTGTTTTCATAGATATACATACATACATTTATATGCATATTTTTTTACTCGAACATAAAACTTAAATAAAAATTTAATAGTAATCCTCGTTTGGGCTTTTCCGCAGAGACAGCACATTCGGATCCGACAGGCTAAACAAGGGTACCACCGTTTAAGGTAATTCAATATGGTGATTATATAATCCTCTTCGACCAACATAAGCGGAACAAACAACTTGTTGTCAACATAAAAGCCTCTCTCATCGTCAGATCCTCAGACGGACGCGCGCTTTAAGCCAGCAATTTCTTTCAGATCAGGAAGGAGATAAAGCCCTCTGCAGTGTGTTACATCAGGCATTCAAACTACTTGCCTAAAACACATACATTAGCTTTACCTTCAGAAAGGCTCAGGCCGTTATCAACAATGTCAAGATATCTAAGGTTTAAAAGGCGGACGAAACTATCCACTCGTACTTAATGTGCCCCTGTGCTTTTCGATAATCCCAGATATGTGGAAGCCAGGGAAAAAATCGAACTCAATAGAATCGTACGGACCCATCTCCATCCTGTCAGTAGGCTAAACCATGGGGAATATTCATAATCGAAATAAAAAGGCTCCTATTATGGTTCACAACTTAGTTGAGTTGTATCTGAGACAACTCAACTTGTAGACAACTCAATTATTCATTGCTATTGCCATTCACAACTGTTTTAATTGAAAAAGTCGCAAATTCGATGCAAATTTTGGTATTTTAATCGTATTATGTAATTTTTATGATATTAAAATAATTAATATCAAGAAAATGGTAATAAGCTACGAATTATGTTTTACCGATTAGCCCGAGGATGCTGATGCCAACCAACTGACAGACAACTTCGTTTTCAAAGTTGAGTTGAGTTGTGTCCCACAATACCAATTTACAATTTACAACTCTACTATCTTCAAAGTTGTGAATCATAATAGGGCCCAAAGTCTACTCCAAAGTTAGTTTGGAATAAGTCCAAAATACGGAATGTTGAGCTAGAAGGAAACAAAAAAAATGATCCGTCCGTTTTGCTTTTTCTACCTTACCTAACTTGTTTCGTTAGTTGTAGCTCTTTTGACAGATATTCTAATAAAAATTATTTCAAAAATCTTCTTGTTGCCGTTAATTTATTGAAGACATCCTAGACTCGCCGCTTCCAGATCGAACGAAATTGTGGATAACCAAATATTTGCAGATGAAAAGCTTAAGCTATCATGAGAGACCTGTGTTACTCTGGCCCAGTTAAGGTCTGGATATTGTAGTCGTCTGAACTAGTTCTTATCCAGACTCTACTCTGGCCCAGTTAAGGTCTGGATATTGTAGTCGTCTGAACTAGTTCCTATCCAGACTCGATCTCGACATATCAAATATTCCTGGGATATATTCTAAAATTCCTTTGGGCTGGATTCAGTGTTGTGATAAGCTGAGGGTACAATGGATCTACTATATGCAGTGCTTATACACACCTGACCTCGGACGGGTCCCCTCACGTCACCAACCATCTCTTCACCTACCCACTTAAACCCATTCCGTTAGTACTACTATCCCTTTGATCCAACCCCGTCGAAACAACACGTTTCCTGAGCGTACTATATACACAAGAGATATCTTGGTCGCAGTGCATACCTCTATATTGATCTATCTATACCGTTAGTTGAGCTTCACGAAAATGATGATTGCAATGCTATCAATATAAGCCCTAATACCCTAAACAACTTGCTAGACGTTCGAAAGCCACCTATCAATACTGGGAAACTGGAACTTCTGGGACCCAATGCAACCTATAAAAGTTCTGTTATGACTGGTGTCACATACTTAACAGCTATCTATCGCCAAACAACTGACCAGTAAGTTCTCAAGATCATCATAACACAAAAAACCTAATCACATGCTTATCCAACCTGACGACCTTGTCACCAGAAGCAATATCGCCCGCTTTCTCGGTCTCAGATTCGGCGAGACGGAGGATGAAGAGGTGAGGGGAGGTCGAGCACTGCTTCTCTTTGAGCGTGCTCTCGTTCTCTGTCCATGCCGGCTCATGTAAAAAGAGACAGAGGAACATTCGAACGATCGGCAATACAGATTGGACAAAAAATCGTTTAGATACCCTTTTCAGCCGAGTATTCATCTAAAATCTTTCCGAAAACCTCCATCTGGCAGCTCTGTGGATTTCATTCGGTCATTCTTTTAATCAAAAACAGCTGACCTTTTGTATTCTAGGAGTAAAGGGTGTTTGTGAATTTCAAAGCATACCAGCTGCTTTCATTTCACAAATTGTTAAATTTAGCAAGGACTAAGTATTTTAAGAAATTTTAAATGTGTTCAAGTTTGGCACAGACACGCGGATGCAATCAAAAATGAGGGCAATACACGGCAGCACATGCTTTAAAGTAGTGAAAAGCGTTTGTTGTTGTTGTTGCTAATAATGAAGTGGCTATTGTGTTGGCATAAAAAACTCAAGAAAATGCTGATAGGCTGGAAGCCTTTGCATTGGTTTGCATTCAGTGCACTTTGTTTGCTAGCGTTGGGCACTTACTGGTTCATTTGGTCATCTGAGGTGCGCATAGAGGAGACATGGAACAATGGTGAGTGTAAATATGGTAAATATGTATTATGCAGATGTGAAAAAAGTATATTTTGAGTTTTTTTGTAGCTATCAAACCTTTGGGCAAAATAGCAACGACAGTTAATAGTGGTTCAAACCATGTTCACCCAGGCACTTTATCATTGGATAACTTCAACTATGAAGAAGAATTAGTAGTGCTATACAATCGGGTGCCCAAAACGGGCTCGACAAGTTTTGTCAACATCGCTTATGATTTGTGCAAGCGTAATAAATTTCATGTCTTGCATATAAATGTGACAGCAAATATGCATGTATTATCGCTGCCCAATCAGGTGAGTAGTGTTGACAAACAGTCTTACTTTTAACAACATTATTTGATTGGTTTTTTCGAAGATTACTTTTGTGCGTAATGTCACTAAGTGGCATGAAATGAAGCCTGGTAAGTGTGCTTGTAAAGTAACTAAGTTCTGTGCTATTATTTACAATTTATCACTTTTTATTCCAGCTCTCTATCATGGTCATATGGCATTTTTGGACTTTTCCAAGTAGCTAATGCGGTGTATACAAATATAAATTTTTTGATTATATTGCGTTTGTTTGTTTTATAGATTTCAAATTGCGCACAAACCTATTTATATAAATATAGTTCGTAAGCCATTGGATAGGCTAGTTTCATACTATTATTTTCTACGCTATGGTGATAATTATCGTCCGAATTTAGTACGTAAAAAGGCGGGTAATAAAATTGTAAGTTCTCTTTTCTATATGCAATTATATAATTTTTTTTATTCTAATGACATTTTCCTTGCTAGACTTTCGATGAGTGCGTATTGTCGAAACAACCAGACTGTGATCCAAAGAACATGTGGCTGCAAATACCATTCTTTTGCGGACATGCAGCCGAGTGCTGGTAAGCAGCCTGGGCTCGCATCGTAACAGAAGTGAAGGAGCAATTAGTCACGTAAAAATACATATTTGGATTATAACAGTCGTGAAAGTACTGCTCGCCTCGTATACCGAATTACGAGAGTACGTTCACGACTGTTATAATCCGAAATATGCATTTTTACGTGACGAGTTGCTCGTTCACGACTGTTACGATTCTAGCCCTGTTTTTGCAAACAAATGGGATTCGTACTTTATAAAAATTCTTAGGGTGGTATTATCACTTGCCAAGCGAATGATTTTGGCGAAGCGAACGGTTTGGCGAAGCGAATTAAAATGCAGAGAAGGTATTAAAAGTGTTTGCGATGCAAAGAACTTGCACAAGCTGGTAAAAGCGAACACTCTTAATGCATATTTAAGTTGCATTCGCCAATCCATTCGCTTCGCCAAACCGTTCGCTTCGCCAAATTCATTCGCTTCGCAAGTGATAATACCGGCCTTAATTCATTTTATAGGGAACCCGGCAGTGAATGGGCATTAAATCAAGCAAAGCATAATCTGGTGAATGAATATTTTCTGGTCGGTGTCACTGAGCAAATGGAAAATTTTGTCGATTTGCTTGAGCGTTCTTTGCCACGGTAAGTACATTTACAGAAAGCTAGTACCATAAAATCACAATAAGATAAAATGCCATTGTTACTTGCGCTCTTACAGTATATTTCACGGTTTCCGCGAGCACTATCAACATTCCAACAAATCACATTTGCGTC